TCCCTCGGCCTCCCATTCTGACTCTTCGGTACACCCTACCCACCTTGCTCTGACTGTAACAATGGATGACTAAAGGTTTCCGGTATTCTCAGATTGAAAACTTGTACGCACTCTTAAAGCCATAATCATCCGCTCTGGTAGGTTGCGAAGTTCTGCTGAGGAAACGCATCCAGTTTTGACACTTCTGACAAGGTGTCACTCCGTTGGTGAGGAAAAAATTCTGAAAACACCATTAGGCATGAGGACTCAGAGGTCTGTCGTGAGTCGGAGACAGGTCCTGACTCGGAGATCTGTCCAGACTCAAGGCAGGTCCTGACTCGGAGACAGGTCCTGACTCTGAGACAGATCCTGACTCTGAGACAGATCCTGACTCAGACATCTGTCCAGACTTGAGGCAGGTCCTGACTCAGAGACAGGTCCTAACTCGGAGACAGGTCCTGACTCTGACGCAGGTCCTGACTCTGACGCAGGTCCTGTCACAGAGGTTTGTTCTGACTCTGAGGCAGGTCCCGTCTCAGAGACAGGNGACTCGGAGACGGGTCCTGACTCGGTGACAGGCCCTGACTCGGACGGGTCCTGACTCGGTGACAGGTCCTGACTCGGTGACGGGTCCTGACTCGGGGCAGGTCCTGACTCGGAGGCAGGTCCTGACTCGGTGATCTGTCCAGACTCGAGGCAGATCCTGACTCTGAGACAGATTCTGACTCAGACATCTGTCCAGACTCGAGGCAGGTCCTAACTCTGAGACGGGTCCTAACTGGGATGCAGGTCCTGACTCTGAGACAGGTCCTGACTCTGAGACAGATTCTGACTCGGAGGCAGGTCCTAACTCTGAGGCAGGTCCCGTCTCAGAGGTCTGTTCTGACTCTGAGGCAGGTCCTGACTCGGAGGCAGGCCCTGACTCGGAGACGGGTCCTGACTCGGTGACAAGTCCTGACTCTGAGGCAGGTCCTGACTCTGAGGAAGGTCCCGTTGTAGAGGTCTGTTCTGACTCTGAGGCATGTCCCGTCTCAGAGGTCTGTCCTGACTCTGAGGCAGGTCCTGACTTGGAGACAGGTGCTGACTCGGAGACGGGTCCTGACTCTGTGACAGGTCCTAACTCGGAGACAGGTCCTGACTCGGTGACAGGTCCTGACTCTGACACAGGTCCCGTCTCAGAGGTCTGTTCTGACTCTGAGGCAGGTCCTGATGCAGAGACAGTTTCTAACTCTGAGACAGGTCCTGACTCTGAGGCCAGTCCTGACTCTGAGACGGGACCTAACTCTGATGCAGGTCCTGACTCGGAGACAGACCTTGACTCGTCCGAGTCAGTA